AACAGTATTTTTGCGCCTCGAGCCACCCTGGGTGAGTCCTATTTTCGTTGGCCACAACAGGATGGTTTACTAAGATGTTTTCCTTTGAACTGCATCCTATCCTAAGCTTTTTATAAAAATCCAGGTACAGGTTACCTTGAAATGGAAAAGCATTTATCAGCACAACTTTAAAATCGACCAGATATGGAAAAAATGCGGTTAATTCATCGGTGACACCAATTGCAGCGCCCGAAATGCCGGAGCAAATTAGCTCTGGGGAAAGCGTAGGTTAACTTCAGCGGCTTAGCCGCCCCCCCCCCCCCCCAGCCGATTTAGAAAGTGCCATCATTGCATGAGTCTGATATATTACACAGAATACATCCAAATATGAGGGTTAATTATAAGTCTATAATGCACATTTCATGAATCTGAGCCAACTCACGTCGAGGAGTCTCAGGTATGCATCTCAGTCTAAGTTTTTTCAAGATTGATTTTTCGGAGGATGTTTGCGCGACGGAAAGGGCCTTGATCCTCTAAGGGCGAAAAGTAACGGATCACTTCTGTGCTGCGTACGGGGTTCCCTGACCGGGAAAGAAAAATATATAAGAAAGAAGAAAGGTTCTCCTTCTCAGCAGGAGCAGTGTGTCCTGAACCAAGAGCAAATTTCGCATTATTGAAAATCGTAAAAATCGATCTAAAAAAGCCGTCCTGTTTCTTCTGCAATACTATGTTTTCCCGGGATCCATTAAAACCAAGTTGCACGGTAAAGGAACGTAATATTAAAAGCACCTTGTCCGCGGCTTGAGCCAAGCGAACTTTTGCATATGTACACTGACGAACATGTCTCACGGCTTGTACTGCTCAGCAGTATAAGCCGTAGCCGTATAAGCCTCAGAATGACTCAAGTTGAGCCATTCTGAGGAACAAGTTCCAGGATAACCCGGGCGAAAGAAATGGAGACGGAACCATGCAAAACGCTGATGATTTGGCAAGCGAAGCCTTTCAGCAATACAAACACTTATTGACAACAAAACGGAACAGGTACCGACTGAGCAAAGCCGAGAAAAGGTAAAAATGTGCGACTGGAAAACAATCGCTTTCCGAGTTAAACATGTCTTAGTTACAGCATCATGTTTCGAATCATTTCGCATCTTCCTTTCGCAATGACTTCTCCTTTGCACGTTTGTTTTGCAATAACTGCGCGAAGGTATAGGTATGCGGGTACTGTAAGTGCGTTCTCACTGTGGGAGGCAAAACTGTCAGAACATTTGTCTGCTCCGGCCGCGCCACTCTGGTGATTTCTAGGCACTTGATTTCCCCTGATCTCTTCGCGCTACGCGAGTTTCGAAATCGATGCGCGATGGGAAGTTGCGCATACTTTGCGGCCGACCAGGCCCTTTCCAGAACTGTCACAGAGAAAAAACACTCGCCGAAGATTGCGACCCAGGCATGTTGGCGACTTTCCCAATCTGCTCAGAGCCGCGCAGCGTGATGAGTGTTCACAGCGGGGATGCCTTGTCAATGAAACATAAGGCATCTGGCGACAGATCCCCGCGCGCGGTGCCTGCGACCGTGAAACCCCGCGTGGAATGCCTCGTGTTGGCCACAGAATGCCGTTCCTAACACGTGCCGTCTCATGTAATAAGAGCGATGTAATTACTTGTTCGATCAGCGAAACAACCGCTTTGCGGGCTATACAAATACATAGTACATGGGGCGGGGGCGGATTCAGCTTGAATAGTTTCCTTAAAATTATAACATTAACCCTAATATGAGGCGTGGCATAATCAACTTGAAAGGCACGTTCTCTTTTTGCGCATCTTCGATATCTGCATACATAGTATGGCCCAAACCATAAAGCACCACTCAAAACATTTAAAACACCATACAAATGTGGAGCGGTCCATTTAATTCTGGACAAAGCGACCACTCTCCAGGGGCTACCATGGCCTCGGAAGGAGCCACTCTGGGAAACTCCCGACTAGCTACCGCTGATTCGGAGACAGCCAGTCGGGGAAACTCCCCACCACCTACCATCGGCTCGGATCGAGACAAACATCGATGTTGGTATAAGCGCGTCGGGAATAAAGAGCGCAAGCTGTTGTGTGCGACTATTAAAAGCTGCCGCGGAAACCCCGCTCGGTAGCCGTAAGGTATGCTGCAGGCTGCACCGTATCGCTCGCGGTAGACGTGTCCGGCACAGCTGGTGTGGTTTTGTGTGGTGCTCGTTGTCGGATGATTACCACCATCGGTTTAATCGGCTAGTGTCTGTCGTCAGGTTTTGGTGACTGTTCTACTGAATACTCACGTCGTCAGTGGAGCAGTCAGCCCCCCCCCCCCCCCCCTGCGGGCAGGAGGAGCTCACGCAGCACGGAGGAGCGGCAGGGGGGAGCAGTTAGCAGCACGGAGGAGCGGCAAGGGGAGCAGTCAGCCCCCCTCCCCCTGCGGGCAGGCCAGGGAGTCAAGAGTATGTGTTTGCCCCTCCAATTTTTTTTGGCAGCCTTTTTTCAAACTGAAGGCATTGTAGCTTTTACAAGCATTGTATCCCCCCCGTCATACCTGGTCGTGCGGGTAGCATCGTTCGCCAGTGTAGCACCGGGGTAGCCCTGGCGGAGACCACCTCCCGAGAGAGCGTCGGCTCGTTCCCCATGAGGCAGGCTCCCAGGTGGGTGGGGAGTCCCGCTGCCGAGCGCTGAACTTACATCGCATGGCAACCTAAACTACCAAAAGCGCCCGGGCCCGAAAAAGGGACGACCCGTTGTTCAATCCGGCTGCTGCGGTTCCGCCCCTGCTCCTTGGATCTTCGCAGTGATGACAGTGGCCTTTCGTCTTTTCTCCATTTGAGCGTCGAAATGGATGTGATCGTTTCGGCACTGTTGCATGGTGTGATGAGCTTCGAGATGGCAGTATAGAGATATAATTTAGCAATGGAGACGATACAAAGCGAGCGATGCTTGCTACACGATTCGTGTACAGGGCGCGGGACGCGGAAAGCAGGCGAGACCTGCCGCTTGCCCTGGCTGTAGAGGCGCGCAGGACGAAGGACTCTCCCAATGGAATCGTGAACTGTATCAACATTAAAGGCGTCAGTGAAGAGAAGATGGTGGGAGGGTTGGGTGAGTTGGGGGTCACTGACGCCCGTCGGATGACGGTGCGGCGTGGTGCCGATCCGGTCCCCACGAACAGCAGCGTGCCCGCCTGCGGTAGAACCGACCTACCGGCAGACGTCGGCGTGGGCTCTGCGAGGGCGAAAGCGCGTCGTTTTATCCTCAGCCCCATGAGATGTTTCACGCGCTTTTTCTGGTTTGATAACCATTACCAGGCTATTTGTGGCAAGTGTTCCCAGCCAGACCACGCAATGGGCCACCGCACCGCAGAGCAGCCGAAGTGTGCTAAGCACGATGAAGAGCGGTCCCCTCATTTCACGTTCGAGAGGTCTTGTTCATGTCATACAAAAGGGGGCGGGGGGGGGGGGGGCTATCATGCTCAGATTGACCGGACAAACGTCGTTCGGGATTAGCAGAGCCCTTCTAAATCAAGAGGCTCGTTTTCTGGATCAAGAGGCCATCTTCATGAATAAGGTAGTATATGCTATCTATTAATAGGCTCTTCTTTGTTAAGGAGGCCCTTTTGTTGGCTCGGGGAGGCGCCGGTACTAACAAGGAGGCCCTGTTTAGGGTTAGGAGGCACCCTCTATATTCAGATGCCCCGTTTATGGAACAGGAGTCCTCTTTCACGCATCAGATGTCCGTTTCGGATCAGGATGCCCTGTTTCGGGAAAACAAGATCACTTGGCTGCATTTAGAAACCCCTTCGTCAATCGAAAGCATCCTGTTCTAGATAAGGAGCCCCCCCCCCCCATGCATCAGGAGGCCCTTGTTCTGGAACAGAAGACCCTGTTTTAGAAATATTAGCATGTTTACTGGATAACCAGAATCGTAATTACTCTGTTTTTTTCATTGTCAACATGTGTTTGCTTGGATATGATGCATGTAATAATTTCCCAAGAGGGCGCATGCCGTTAGTGCCCTTTGCCCTTGAATACAACACTGCCCTGAAGACCCTTTGTGAGATCCCATTTTGTCCAGGAGGTCCCATGAAAAATCCTGTCTCCCATTCAAAATCCTTGGCTTCGTCACCGCGCGTTGCGTTGGAGGTCATCGTATTTCAAGAGTTTTTCGGAAATCGGCAGCTCGTAATTCGTCTGGTTTTGGTTCATATTGTTCCACGTCTGTCCACTCTCCAATGTGAAGTCGAGGCAGAAAAACGCAAATTGCTGCGGCATGTAGATCTTCACTGATGTCGCTGTATGATGGCAACACGTTCAGACATTACCACAAACTTACACCAGAGTCAACGAGACATAAAACTATTGCACTTGCGCTTGCACTTGCACTTGCACGCAGCAATAAGGAGATTTATGTTCAAGTAAACATGGCAAGAACATTGGGCCTTAGAAGTCTGAACGTCGGGCTTCAGAATTCTGACTACCTCAGTCAGCTGCACTCGACTTAACAGGACATCACAATATTAGGTTCCCTTATTCCTTTTACAAAATCATTATAAGCCCTCCTCAAAAGCGGTACAATTTTGGGCTCCCATTCCTTATACTCTGTGCTAAGGCTCCAAAAGGTTGGGTGCAAACTCAGTGATGAGCTGGGGGGGGGGGGGGAGCAGCTTGGACACTGAGGGTGTGGGGCAGTCGCCAACCCAAAAGCATACAAATCGACATCCGTAACGTCCAGTGGCACAGGGGCACACAAGCTAAATTTAGGAGAGGAAACAAAACTAAAGAGGCAGAGCGGCCTCAGGCCGCCTCAAAAGTTGCGAAGTCCCGCCCCCGGGTGTGAGAACACGCCCGCTCTGCAAATAGCCCCGGAGAGGCGTATGGGGGAGGGGGGGAGGGGGCGAGTGCACACTCGTCTCAGTCGACCCTCAGGCCACCTCCTGTGACGTCACTTAGCTGCGCCGACGAGCAGGGGTCGGTGAGCAGCCCGGCGCCCGCGCGGTCAGTCGAGGTCTGGTGGTTGCCGAGTCCGCCGCCATGCGGCGTGTGGCGCTGCTGGCGCTCTCCCTCTGCTGCCTGCCCGGTAAGCCACGACCACCGGGAACCGAATGGGAACTCTTCCGTTGTTTCCTGGTTGGATGCTGTTTTTTAGTCATGAGGTACGAAGTCGTGGGTGAGTGGAAGGCTTGCTAGCGTTGGTCTTGAACGAATTTTTTTTTCCTACGCGAGATAGCATATTTGCGGGCGGATAATAAACAAACCTTGGCAGTGCGGGCTGGGCAGCAGCGCATTTTAGCTTCGGACCAGACTTCAGTTTCACTGTGTAGACTGAGAAAATATTGGACACAGACACAGACACAGGAGAACACAAGTTTTCCTTTTCCAAAACTGAGCCCGGAGCCGAAAATTTCACTGTGGCATGTCCACAAACAAACACCACTTTTCCGATGGTACTTTTCATGCACTTTTGCACTTTCGATGCACTTTTCCGACTGCTGTTAAGGCTACAAGTCGTTGGTTCGCGGAAGGTAGAACTCCTTCCGCCTAGACTTCCAAAGCAACATTAGACCCGTGACTTTTGCGCTATGTTTTAGCCCCAAGAAACATCTGGGCCCCTCCTCTTTGGCAAATTTTCATCGACTTGCGGTGACGAACCGCGAGATGTATTCGTAACAATTGCCATGAGTGTTGGCAGGATATTTAAGAGCCGAGGATTCGGATTCTCGGATTCAAATGTATTGGGATAGATTCGAACCTCCGAAATCCTCAAGTCTTAAAAAACGAGAATGGGAAGCCTGAAAATCTGGATTTAAATCCCAGAACCACACCTAGTTATAAGCGCCAACATTTTGGTGTGCATTCAGGTCAATGGTATATTACCCGGTTTCATATTTTCTTCTGATAAACTAGATGCAATACATGCAGGCTGGTTTTGCAGCAGGCTGAGTCGCCCGCCTACTTTTCATAACAATGTATTTGTTCGAGTTCCCACTTCCAAAACGCTGCGAATCTTCAGTCTAATATTGCTCCTAATGGTGGAGTGGAGCGACGGCTGAGGACTTCTCCGGACTGTCACCCCTCAAACCGCGCTCAGCTCGTATCGCGGCACGGACACCATGGTAGAGTGGAGCGGCGACCGAAGACTTCCCCGGACCGCCACCTCACAAACCGCGCTCAGCTCATATCGCGGCACGGACACCATGGTAGAGTGGAGCGGCGACCGAAGGCTTCCCCGGACCGCCACCCCACAAACCGCGCTCAGCTCATATCGCGGCACGGACACCATGGTAGAGTGGAGCGACGACCGAAGACTTCCCCGGACCGCCACCCCACAAACCGCGCTCAGCTCATATCGCGGCACGGACACCATGGTAGAGTGGAGCGGCGACCAAAGACTTCCCCGGACCGCCACCCCACAAACCGCGCTCAGCTCATATCGCGGCACGGACACCATGGTAGAGTGGAGCGACGACCGAAGACTTCCCCGGACTGTCACCCCACAAACCGCGCTCAGCTCATATCGCGGCACGGACACCATGGTAGAGTGGAGCGGCGACCGAAGACTTCCCCGGACTGTCACCCCACAAACCGCGCTCAGCTCATATCACAGCACGGACACCAGGCTAATAGCGTAGTTGTTTCGGGGATGTGCGTATGCTTTCATGGGCCTGCTTTTACAAGAGCCGTTTATGGCGTAATGCAACCACACCACGTTTGTGGCGTCTGAACGCGTTTTATGTGTTCGGACAGCATGTGCCCTGGAGTAGGCGTGCATTGCGGCTCAACATGAACTTTCTCGAAGGTGAGTTCACTCTGGCCGTGTCGCCGCCGGTTCGGAGCCTAACGCTGCGCCCCTGCTGTCCGCTACGTTCTGCGGGTGGACTGAGACGCTAAAGACCGAAACAGTTGGCTGTGTAACGATATAATAGAAAGAAAACGATTGCGATTATCATGGCCCCCAAGTTTTTCGGCGGCGTCGACTCAGAAACGCAGTGGTTGTCGTTAGGAGTCTTTTGTTAATTGTGCGATCTGTCATTTGGAATTGGAGCATTCGTTCAGTTGTCGCTTCTTTGGGATGATTACATAAGCATCTTCATCTGCAGGCGGTGAGGCAACGGGACGTCATCTTCGCCATTTGTAAAGCCAATTTTTGGAGCTTTGCTGGTGAATTTCGCATCTCATTAACTGTGATATATTCCACGTGTTACATATGTATAAAACAGTTATAAAACAAATTTAGCTCATAACACATCACATACAACATGTGCTATATGGCACATATTCCCGATATTTGTTCCGCGCGATTCCATCCCTCCAAGACCTGAACTCGTGCGGACCACAGCAGGCTGGTCCGTTATGCAGTCGGTACACCCGCGGAATATGGCCATCTTTCAGGGTTTGCTTGTCTGCCCTTTGCACTCACCACTTAATACGGGCGTTTACAGCAGCGCTGGGGACCGTGAAGCCCGGACCCCATGCGCCACTTTTGACAGATTGCACGTCTTTGGATTACTCCTGTCTAGATACAAACTCGAAGTCAAACAAAGCCACTACGATTGGTCATCAAGCCTCAGCAACTCAGCACGTATGGTTAGGCCGGTCCAGTGTAGGTTACCGTGCCATGGAAAGATACCTATTTCGAGGGGATACGCTCAACCTTTTCAGTTTGCCAACCGGGTCACGAAAATGCATGCATTTGCATTCACCAAGCAGTACACCTCAGAGAACCAACATCCAGAGAAGGTCAACGTCAGCGTCGGAAGGTCAACGTCGTGAAGTACACAACGGCTTCGAAGTTCAGTGTATAGGTTCATATGTAGGTCCACATGAAGGCCCATAATAACTGAACACAGCCTCAAACTTCGTTGGGCTGCTAGGAATGGAGCATGTGTCATTCTATCGTCTTGCTTCTAGAGCTGGCCGACACGCAGGTCATGGGTTTGTCATCCCTCACACCGGAATCGTCTTCGTGTAAGGTCATCAGTGGAGTACGTGGAGGTGCTACGCTTTCCATCAACAACGTAATCTAAGAAATATTAAATACTCGCAAGCCATAATGATGTGCTACAAATGAAGAAAGAGTGAGTTATTCCCGAAATGTGCACATCGCCTCTGGCATAAAGCCTTTCATGTGAAATACCTGACCCTTATTTTCTATTAGAATTGCATTACGCTGGCAAAAGTCATTCGAGTTCCAGACCTTTCAAGTCAACCGTTAAGAACTGAGAACAATGCGTTCGACTAGTTTAGCCCAGTTTGCCTTTCAACGGGCGACGACGGGTGCCTCAAGTTACCCCAGATTTATCTCAGAAGTTCGACGCATCACGTGTTGGTGGAGCGGGGACCTGAAAGGCCGTCCATCGTGATGGAGACGCGATACCGTCCACGCCGAGGGCGTAGCCGGAGTTCTCAAACACGGCCGACACGCGCGCGCCCCGGCCCCGTCCGAGCTCCGGCCGGCGGCCTGTCGCCACGTTTGCTGATGGCGCGCGGGCCCCTCGTCCAGCGAACCGACGAGGTCACTGTGTCACGCATGAGCCCCGGGCAGGCGTCCGCCGGCGTGCGACGTGTGTACCACCAGGTCTCCGGGACGCGGCGAGGTACAGGAAACCCTCCACCGTCTCAGGCCGCCGTCATCTCGGTTGGTAAAGGAAAACCACCGCTGCTGCCAACGTGCTGCCGTCAACTTATTATCATCGACTTATTGACGTCAATAGCAAAGTTATCGTCAACCGACGTGCCGCAAGGTGCTGTAGCCGTCCTCGGCCACCGTCAACGGCTGTGTTGCGAGTGACGGAAGCCCGTCACTGTCACCCGGTCAGCTGGCGTGTGGCAGGGGCCTACCGTCACATCCGGTAACCGACAACTGGAGCACTATTGAGAGCCTGGCCTTACATCCGGTCGGTGTCAGCTGGCGTGTGGCAGGGGCCTACCGTCACATCCGGTAACCGGCAACTGGAGCACTATTGAGAGCCTGGCCTTACATCCGGTCGCCGTCAGCTAGCGTGCCGCGGTGACCCTGCCCCCGTCCCGCCCACCGTCAACTGGCGTGTCACAGGGGGCCTGTTGCTCTCTCCGGTCGCTGCCAGCTGACGTGCTGCGGCGACCCCGCCCCCGTCCCGCCCACCGTCAACTGACGTGTCACAGGGGGCCTGTTGCTCTCTCCGGTCGCTGTCAGCTGACGTGCTGCGGTGACCCTGCCCCCGTCCCGCCCACCGTCCGCCCACAGGGAGCCTATCACTCTCCCCGGTCGGTGTCAGCTGACGTGCTGCGGTGACCTGCCCCCGTCCCGCCCACCGTCAACTGGTGTGTCACAGGGAACCTGTCGCTCTCCCCGGTCGCTGTCAGCTGACGGGCAACGTAAAACGTCACTACCGTAATTGGCATGTTGTAGGGTGCATGTCACTGCCTCTGGGCTCGTGCCGTGCCATCTAGATGAACACTCAGTCGGCAGCCTGCGGTTTGCTCTGTTCCCTGGGATTACCATTATAGAATGGGATCTGATGCATTTTCTGTTTGTCTATTCAACTACTCCCGTACTCATCAAGTGAGGCATCGTTATCAGCTCCGTGCTCTAAATAGCGTGATTAATTACACCTAAGTTATGATGAGGGCTACGTTGCACGACTGCTAACTCGCGCTGCAATCGTTTTTTGTCCTTCCGCCAATGTTTCACATAACGGATAGATTACTGACTGCACATGAAGTTATCATACTTTTCAGCGATCCAATCGCCAGAACAGTAATAATTCTATGAACAAAGATCTCCTCTGCATTATTTTTGATATTAGTGTAACGGAAACAGTCGACAAGATCGAACCTCCGGCGGTTTTATCCACATGACAACCAGTCAATCAAACAACTTGGTCCCGGGCTCTGAAATGTTCGGCGTATTTAATGATCCGTTTATGAAACGCCATACTCTTGCCGAATCCAGCAAACAGCGAACGATGACCGACGGCCGGAACTATGGTTAGATTCTGCCTCTTGAATGCGGCTGTTATGACTTTTGAGATGGCCAAAGTGCGATGCGCGTACATTTTAAGACTGCCGCCGACCAGAGCGCACCTTCTATCCGGGCTTGTGTTTGTGTTCATCATACATGAAATACGGGCCAGCGAACCAGGAGGCCGCTTTTAAGCACGACGAGCTTTTTAACTCTATCAGTCTTTGATATCATGAGTCATGACCATGATCATCGTGAACTCACCGGAAAAGCATGGCTCGCCAACACGTTTCCATGTATTTGCTGGCGACCGGTGACGACGGACCAGCCTCATAGCGGGGGTGGAGACGGGCGGGGGGGGGGGGGAGCCGGTCTGTCTCGCGGCCTGGTGGCCAGGCCCGGCGCGGCCGTTCAGCGCGGCGGCCGAGCTCAAGTTCCGACGCCGTCCACCTGCGTCGCGTTCGACACGGCCAAGACTGACACCGTTGACAGCGATGACCATCAGCGGGCGAGTTTTCAGAATGTGCCGGCCACGCGTGTCTAATCTGCATCGCAGCGAACTTCGACAGCCGCGTCGGACGTGTTCGAAGTTCGCCGACGGTTTTGGGAATGCTTATCGCAGACACCATTTTCTTGAAAAGTGCTACCAGTGGACGTATGCGACGATTTCTCAAATGATGGGTTTTGATCTGAATTGGCCGCTTGTCTTACGAGAGCATATGTGCATGTCTTTTGTAATCGAACAATGGAAGTGAATGTCCAAAACCAAATGCTCTCTAAGCCAGGTATCTTGCGTGAATGGCTTGTCAGATGAGAGTAATGATTTGAAAATGTTGGTCATTTTCACGTCTTGCCATTTCAATTGATTTTGAAGCATGTGGTTGACATAACGCACAGCGCAACATATAAATTCAAGCACACGATTCGATACTAGACACTGGTCACTGGCCAATGTGGCCAGAACCGTTCACCTTTAAACATTTAACGTTTCGAAAGAAGGAAAGGTCTATAAATTTGTGCTTAATGCCCCTACCCGTTTACGTGGAAGTGTGTGGCTGCTAATGCCGGCGGTGTCACATCTGTGCCGAGATATTGAGTCATATGGTCATAGCCATCGTGCTGACTTATAACGGTCTTGCTGATGCTCCTGCAGCGGGATTACAGTCAGCTGACGCGACGCAGGCGGCTTGTTAGTGTACCGTATCACCAGCAACTGAGTGACACGGGACCCGCCGCTGCCCCTGGCCGTCGTCAGCTGGTGCCCTTCAGGGTGGCTGGTGCTCACCCCGGTCACCGTCGCGTGGAGCGGTGCAGAGGGCCTGTCACCGTTCGCGATCACTGCCAACTGACGTGGTGAAGGAGCTGTCACTGCCCCTGTCCAGGCTGGACTAATGTGTTGTGAGGACATGTGGCTGCCTGTGGTTACTGCCAGCTGACGTCGACAGAAGACCGGTCCCTTTCCCGAGCGGCCGTCAAGTGGCGTGTTGCAGGGGCTCCGTCGCTGTTCCTTGTCACCGCCGACTGCCGCATTTAAGTACACCTTTCACTGTCCCTGTTCACTTCCGACTGCCGTGTTGCAGGTTACCTGTCAGTCTCCCTGGTCACCGCCGACTGCCGTGTTGCAGGACACCTGTCACTGTCCCTGGTCACTGTCAACGTCCCGACCTACAAGCACGTCGGCGAGAGCGCCACGCTGCTCTGCGACTTTGACCTGCAAGGTCGCGGGCTGTACAGCATCAGGTGGTACAAGGACGACGTCGAGTTCTACCGCTACGTGCCGAGCAGCCGGCAGCCCAAGCGAGTCTTCACCGACGTACCCGGCATTTTTGTGAACGTATGTTGTGTATGCATAATCCGAAGGGGAGGGGGCCTGGTGAGTCTTATGCTTTGGCTGAGTGTCCGTCTGCGACAAAAAAAACTTATTATACTTTTTTAAGCATTTGGATAGACCGGGCTTTAACTTGAGTTTCCTCAAATTATTTTCAAGAAAGTTCAGGATATCAGTGCATATTAAACCTCCTGTCATACAGCTCATTAGTTTGTGACATGTGCACTCTGTATGCAACCCTGGTCGGCTGAAGTCCGGGCTTTCAGCGGAGAGTTGCAGGAAAACCACAAAGGAAAGGCTCGGGTGCCAGCAACATTTGCCAAGTACCGGATGTAACGGCATAATATGAACGGCCAGGGGCCACGCAGTCAGCGGCGTTAATTTGACATAAAAGCCCGGTTAGGCTGATGATTGATTGGTGACTTGCGCAGTTCCTCTTCCGGTGCTAGCCATATAACACTTTGTACAATATCATGTGACTTGTTTAGGGGGCCGTAAAGCGAGCAAAACTGCACCAGGCTACATCGAGCACAAAAGTCTCATTAAACCCGGACTGGAGGCAAATTTGTTACGCTTAAACCCGCCCACCGGGTTTCTGGCGAGGCGGAATGCTGCCGGTCGATCGATTTCGTGTCAGGGGACACGACCGGCAAGTGTTTACGATTCCGTCGTTCGTTAATTACTGTGAACACTCATGCCTCAACGGCGGCAGGCCCACCACACCGCCTGTGCGGTGTGTTTCTTGGAAACAAGACGCCGGCAAGCGAAGACGTTTCGGCAGCCCTTCCTGTGCTGCGTTCGTGCACGAGGGAGAATGGGATGATTTACCCTAGCGTGGAGCAGGTCATGCAATTGGAAACGGCCCATTCAGAGGTCACTTACCAGCTAAATGAAGACGTGCTCTCAAAAAGTATACCACCTCACATGTAACTGAAAGGTATTGCTGTTTGCAGGTATGAGAACCGTATCATTCTTATAGTTTCTGGTTTGAAGAAGCTCGGAGCAAAAACTGATGGGACCCACCCTGCCCTCCTCCACGGGCGATGCCGGCGTTCTGTTATACCACGAGAGCCACAGGCTGATGATGGCGCGTGACATGCCACCAGTCACGGGCGGCATGGGTGGCGGCGCCCTCATGCCGGGCGCGGCGGCTGGGGCGGTAACGTGCCAGCGCAAGCGAGCAAAACGAAAGGATCAATAAACTGATATCGATTAGCAGTAGGGAACTCCAATTTTCGTTTTCAGAGAACGTGACACACGTCATCACGTCCCCGTCTTATTGAAGGTCAGCGACTGCATCGCTATATCAGCGCTCAGGGGCCATGGTGTTACCAGGGTTCGAACCCAGGGGCCCACGTGGGAGTCCACGGCGCTAAACGCTTGGCCATCACGCCCCCACTGGAGTACCAGCGACGGGCCTCCGTGAGCGACGTTTTCGAAGTTTGAACCCATCGCTATAGATTTACGCGGATTAACAGCATCAAAGATCTGAGCGTTAATCATTGCGGCAGCATAAGAACACCGTCGGGTGCTCATTCCTGAGCAATACGTATTTGGCTCGGCTGAGCAAAATGTGCCATTCGTTGCAGGCTTGTAGACGCTGGTTTACATAAGATCATGCAGAATCTGTGTCTTCTTCTGCTGTCATGGTCTCTCCGACAAATTAACCATTTAAATACAGTTTGATGCTACTGGATTTTAATGGGTGTCTAACCCTTGTTTTTTTTCTCAAAAACATACTCTAGTGAAATCTCAGGACCAGTTACGTCGAATAATCACATTGTGTAGTGCTACCTCAGCATTATCGAGACAAAAAATATATAGAAGTTTTGATCATTTTCGAGTCCAGATAATCCTGTCAACGTTTTGTAAGAGCACCACGCCTCTCTCTGACGGTCGCGGCAGCCGTCGTCATGACGACGTCAGAATCCGCTGGGGCAGCTGACAAATGTTACTGAATGACGTCAGTACAGTTTGTGATTGACGCAGCGGTTGGCAATGGCCAGTTACCGACAAGCGCATTGGTTAAAGTTTAAGCCAGTGCGTGGCTTTGGACCATGTGATAGACCGCCTACCCCGTTTCCCAAAACCGAAGTGCACTCCGAAAAGACACTAGTAAATGACATGGGTGAAAGACCAAAGCCACAGTACAACGCTCCGTTGAATTTGCGGGATAATGGCTTTACATTCGCATATTTTTTCAAAGCAGTGTTGCAAGATTTCGTAGCACTCATTACACAAACATTTTTTGATAAATTAGTGTGTTGCAAACATTACAGAACAGGCGCGTTGAACACTTAGAACACGCACTAAAGCAAGGCAAATGAGGTGGATTGCTTTCGTGATCAGGGAATCCAATGAGATTTTTCCCGCAGCAGCGGTTACTTCGAATACAAATTCTGAGCTATTCAGAGGGATTCCGAGAATCCGGTGTGCCTAGTGAAATCGCATACATCTGATCTAACAAAAGTGAGTGGTACAAAAAGGTGGCATGCTCCCTTTTTACGTGTGAGTTAGATGCCCTGGCTATTTGCACACACAATTACGTTTTGCCTGGTCACGGGCCATGATAGCAAATAATGACCCTTCAGTGCTGCGACGAAGCTTTTTGTACGTGGAAGCGAGTCTCAGAAAATTGACTGGCGATCAGAATATCACTTCAGACCGATTCTTCCCATGCTTCACCGCAGATCGATTATAAGAGGGGGCCACCGCTCTCTGCAAAATCAACGTCGTTTTTGCATTGGCGTTCAGTGCCGTGCTCCGATTCCCCCAGCTTCTTTCGTTTGACAATTTTACCGGATAATTTACAGAAAACGAGATCATTTGTGGTTGCAAGGCCACTCATCAAAGTCAAAACACACATAAAAAGACGGGAGCTCCTTAGCGATCAGACTCCGAGACCCAGCCGGTCGTCGTCAGCACCAAAACGTGGACCACCGTCCGGGCGTAACTGTAACTGTTAGCGTAACCCGAGCGTCCAAGGCCACCATACAAGGCGCGTCAAGTCAAACTTCAGTGCATGCCATAATCAGCCAACAGCGAGACGGCCGGGCGTTTTGAGCACCAAAATGTGGTCGGTCACCCGAACTAACGTCCGTCAAGATCATCTTTACTCGTAAGGTAATTCTTCAGGATCTCATCAAGATCAAATGGTGGGGAACGCGATAACAAGCAAAGTATAAGACCCAGCGGGGCGTTGCAAGCACCAACACCGTCACATTCAAGACCACCTTTAGGTGCTCTCCAGGTCACCACAAAAGGTGATCTGGAAAGTTTGGGTTACCTTGATAGATGTTTCTTTTGGTGATGATCTACGTTTTAGTGCTTAGAACGCCCGATGGGGTTTCACAGCTCCATCGCTATGATTTCCTCCATCATTTAATCTTGTTTTAGATGTTAAAGGTCACATTAAAAGTGTGATTTTCCTTGAAGGAAGTTAGTTCGGGTGACAAACCACGTTTGGGGCTCAAAATGCCCGATTGGGCCTTGAAGTTTGCTCGCTATGGCGTTCCCCGTCATTTGGCCTTTATTCAGACCTTGAAAGGTGGCATTGAGGCCTCTTGCCTTGCATACGGTTTACCCGGAAAACAACGCCGTTGGTTATTTGACATCTGCCTATTTCATCACGCATCATCTTGGATGTGATAGTCGACCAATATTATAAGCTGACCAGTACCATATTATGAGCAGTGCTATGGCCTGACGTCATAGCACAGCCACATCACGCCCTATCAAGCCAATGCCATCGGTTTGGAGCTGGCTGCGAATGCCAGTCTGTGCCGCGGTGTCGCAACAGCACAGAGTGTGGCGACTCTGCTGGCAGACAGCCGCTTCTGACTCTGCTGGCAGACAGCCGCTTCTGACTCTGCTGGCAGACAGCCGCTTCTGACGAGCGCCGGGTCAGTCTGGGCTCGCTCGAGCTGAACAGCACGGGCCACTTCCAGTGCCAGGTGTCGGACGAGGCTCCCACCTTCCACACCTTCTCCGACGGCGCCACCATGATGGTCGTAGGTGAGCTAGTCCGACGGTATAGCCGTGCAACATGGCGCCGTGGTGGTTTGAACACGTCGGCATCTTTGTGCAGCGTGTTAGTTGAACCGATGCCAAATTAATCGCAGTTGAGTGGACACCGGGCGATCGCAAATGCACCGGCATGATTGCGGTTTTTGGCAATATTTCGTCATAGTAGTAACTGGTGAAATGGCGACCAAGTTCTGAGTTTCGGACACAAAAATGTCACGAAACCCAAATGCCCGAAAACAAAAAAATGCCCCAAAAGTATGACAATGACATCAAACAATGACAAACAATGACATGCTTTGACATATTTGGGGCAACGTTGTCATACGCGTTGCTCCAAATATGTCAAAGGTTGTCATTGTTTGTCATTGTTTGATGTCATTGTCATACGGATGTCACTGCCTGAGACTTGTGAGGGCCCGTCGATGTAAAGCACGCCTTGATATCTACCCGTAGCCTGGCAAACGCATGCTGGTCACCAGTGCTGTGCTGCCCTGCAGCCCTGCCGAAGGCGGGACCTTTCATATTCGGCCAGGACAGCGCACGGAATACCGACGGATTCCTCTCCCTCAACTGCACCGCCGACAAATCCAAGCCGGCTGCCAGATTGCAGTGGCTCATCAACAATCACCAGGTATGGTTGCCTTGTTCCCTTTTCAGCAAGCTGCATGGGAGGCCAGTATCACCGGTTCAAAAATCAACGTTCACGCGGAGTTACTTGGTCGTTTCAGGAGACCGGAATTTCAAAGTGGGAGGGAATGTTGGCCTTCGGCAACGTACCGGCTACGTAACCGGACGTGTGAGATGTTGCAACCTCGGCATCCTTCGGCTGTGGTATATGCTGTGCAAATAGGAACACAACGCGTGCCTGTCCATCCGTTTACTCGACAGCCTGATCGGAACGCTGGCCTGTCCATGGGTTTGCCCGACTGCCTGATCGGAACGCGGGCCGTCTGAGGAGACAGTCTGGCATCTCACTCCCCGGTGGAGCTCCTGACTCCAACTCACCGTCGCAGGCCCAGAGCCAGTTTGTGAGCCGATTGCCTACTATCGTGGACTCGAGCGGCATGGAGACTGCTACGCTCGGGCTGCGGCTACCACTACGGTCAGACATGTTCAGGTAAACAGCTCGGCCTGGCAGGCGAGTCGCGTACAGTACGGATTGACAATCAAGGTTGACGTTGATCTCATGGGACTGCTGACGTACGCCACGAATTGTTCGCCCCTGTATTGCACGCGAAGCCCTCCCGCTTAAGAACATCGGACGGTGGCTTGCTGCGCGATGCAAACCAGCTCGAATTTCCGGCTTCGCTCGTGGTCTGCTGTCTGCTGCCGTGTGTAAAAAGATGTGCTATCTAACCACAGCCCGTCTTTACTTTTTTACTGTCCTTTTCCTGCTATGCTAACTTATTTACTGTTTGATGCGAGCATTAGTTAAGATAATGAATATAAAAATTTAGTCAGCAGATTTACAGCGCCCGAGCCGTCAAAAATCGTGAGCAAAAAAGGCATCACTGGCTGTTTTGACACTCGACCTTTTGGAAAGGTACGTATGTTTGCATGATTTCGTACCCGACTTCGATTATTTTCGGTACACCTAAATACCATCAGTCAGGTACGACAGCACGATTTAAATGACTAGCCATCGCTAACTTGAGACAAAAAAAAAAAACAGCAGTAAGTTGCACTTTGTAGGTTGCTGTCCCTACAGTGTATGATTGAAAAGCGAAACCAGTGCATTGTACACAAATTATAAATAGTAATGACTTAAGTGGCGTCGCATGACACGGATGCTGAAAATCTGTAGTTGTACCGGGAAGCGGCGAAGCCGGTGACATTCGCAGACTTCTGGCGCGACTTACTTTCTGGCCGTACTCCCTTTCTTACTTTCGGGTCATTTGTGGTGTCCCTGGAATTTGGTGCCCCTTCAAAGTAAATATTATGTGGTTCAGATTAGAGGGAGGGATCAGAGGATCAGGCTTTAATTCCCTTCGCCATGATATTTTGGCGCGTCCTCAAAGCACCTAAGCCTCAGGGGGACCCCCAAGAGAGAAAGGGGCATGCCCCATGGCCCCCTGCGAATCCGCCCCTGCTGACGTTTTGTTCACATCAGGCTTCTAAATCCGTTACCGAGGTGAATGTTGGGTCGAAAGTTCCGAACGGTTAGTGCCATGATTAATATCTAAATACTTACGTAAGGCGCGGCCTTTGTAAAGGGCATCTGCCAAAAGCAGGCCTGACCCTGCCCCACGGCCACACAGCCAGCCATGCAAAGGGTCGCTTTGTTTCCATCCCAGACATTGAGTACAGCGGTACCGTCGTTGCGTGTCAAACCCCAGCACCTGCGACCCGCTCTCGGTCGGGTCAAACCCCAGCACCCGTGGCCCACTCTCGGCCGGTGCCGTCGTTGCGTGTCAAACCCCAGCACCCGTGACCCGCTCTCGGTCGGCACGTCAGGTCAGGGGCCACGGAGCTGACCTGCCGGGCCACCGTGCTGGTCGACGCCCCGCCAGCGGGCGGCGCCGTGGCCGCCGACGGCAGGCTGCAGCGGCACGAGGTGCTGAGCCAGCGGAGAGCCACGATCACGGGTGAGCGGCACGGCGTCCGGCGCGCGCGGGGGCTGGGTCAGAAGGGACGTGAAAGTTATTTGCTTGGTGAATCGAGAGTCAAAGAGCGCTCCTTGCTGGCCGTTGACCATTCTCCAGAACAAGGAATACGGCGCCAACGAAATACCCTATCAGAACTGTTCTGTGACTTATCCGGCACGCTGAAACACGGGCGCGTACCATTTCCGTCATCGCAATGCCTCTGCCCTGATTTCAGTCCGGAGCGGAGCTGCCACGCCGGTCACGAGCGAGCTGCTGCTGGTCTCGCTGCTGCTTGCTGGCGCCGTGATGGGAGCGAGCGCCGGCCAGCTGCGGGCTGCGTAGCGCGGCGGAAGCATCGAGAGCGGCCCGCCGCCCCAGACGCCGCGCCCGATCTCGGGTCCGCCAGCGCCCCGGGCCGTCCGCGAGTGGCGGCGCCGGCAGAGCTCGCCAAGTACAACGGCCACGGGTCTCCTGCTCAGCACTGAGAGGCGTGTGACTGGCAACGGCTAGCAAGCGTCCCCCTCGCGCCCCACTGTTCAGAGGTTGCGACAACGCCACAGCAGTCGTGCCTCCATCGCTAAGTGGCGACTGACACATTGTAAACCAGCCCAGATAATAATCCAGTCACCGAGTTATCACTACACACGAAGCGAAGCTATGCGGCGCGCGCCACGTTGTTTCGCGGGAGTGTTTGACGACCATGCCACGAGTGCTTCGCCAGCCAACAACCCGGGCCGTGTTGATCGTTTGCCTCCGCACGAAGCGCATGCACGTGACAGCACGCTATTCAGTTCTGGCCGTCTTGAGCGGCACGACGCCCACTGACAGTGATGAATAAAACGACTGCGATTTGTTACGCTTACACCTCGTAGATTCGCGAACATGGGGGCAGTTCCGCAAAATCAGCTGGAGGGCTCTGTGCTGGGTTGATCGGCGGAGAGCGCACCATAGGTCATTTCTCTTGGACTTGGCTCACGTCACGTCGCTGTATCTTTCGGTCACGTGACCTCGCTATATCTTTGGGTCACGTGACCTCGCTGTATCTTTGGGTCACGTCACGCCGCGAGCCCCAATAGCCGCGCTTGCGGGCGCCGCGGACTCGCCGGCGGTGCCGCGCAGCCCCTCTCCAGCCGAGAGCGGCGCACCGGGATTTAGCGACGACAGCCACACACGTGCACGAGGTCGGCACGCGGGACAGCTGCTGGTGTTGAATGCCATTCAGGTGGCAGCAACACGTGCGCACGTTTTAGACGAGCGTTGACCGCAGGCGCAGCGCGCTGCGCTCGCACCACGCCCTAGACAACTGCCTTGCGCCAATAACCACAAGCGCATCACACCAGCCAACGTTTTTGGAGGCGGTTTATTGGCAACATATGCAGTTCAGCCCACAGCCCGCAATGGGGAGGGAGCGCGTCTCCGGGAGACAGCCCAGTGTGTCCCGTGAGCCGGGGATGATGGTGATACGGAGAGACAGGCGAATCCAGCCAGGGCTTCAAAACTTGAACTCCTTGTATTTCTTGGACTTCTTGTCGTCCTGCTGCTGCTGTTGCCGCTTCCTCTTGTTCTGCACACGACAAACGAGACGATGTGTTAAAGGCAAGGACGAATACCAATTCTATCTAGTACACATCGAAACAGTGAACATATGCAGGAGAAGGCCAGTCACTCAACACATGAAAATATCTTCACGCAGGAAATGGTGCGTCCGGACACATGTAGACCCCCCCCCCCCTGCATTTAGCCAAACGCCGACAGGTTATCACACGGACATGGACCTGGATCTGTTCCATATCCACATGGAGTGGATATGGAACATAATGAAGCCGTTCAACAACGGACGCCAATCCCCGACGGTCTGATCCAGACCCCGACACACGTCTACGGCAACCGACACAGCATCCCTTCTTCGCGCACACTGCCGCGCCTTCTGCTTACATCTTAACGACCCCCGAGGCCGGGCGTTTCCAGCCTTCCCACTCATCGTGCGCGTAGAGCACACAGGGGAGCGGCAGGATCAAAAGAGCCATTACGTAAACGAAGCATGCATTATCCAACAAACAGCGCCCACTCACTCGACGAGCTATAATCATAACCGGGGATAAACGTCAGCGGCACTCATTCGGTAAACAACGGGAATGGGCATGACCTGACAACAAGCCATCGGCTTCAAGGCTGGGCCCGGTGCGGGTCTGTTCCGGCCGTCCTCGATCGGATCCAGTTTGTCCCTTTCGCGGCGCCATATCAAACAGACCTTGCGCGGAATCGGGGTGCGGGAGCCTCGAATCGCCTTATGTCTCGTACACTTTCACGCTCTGTCCGTTTCAGTAACATCGGACAGAGCTTGGGCGCCAGCATACATCATGGAGTAGTTGAGGCCCAGATCCCTTAACAAACGCGCCGAATCGATCCACCCCCCCCCCCCCCCCCCCCCCCTCCGGGAGCCCGCCTCGCTCCCCAGCTCCTGTCCTCCATCGCCGCCGCCGGCGCTCACCTTCTGTTTGGCGGCGTGTTCGGCCACCATGTCGCTGAGATCCTCCTTCTCCAGCTGGGTCTCGCGTATGCGCTCCTCGTAACGCTGCGCCATGGCGTCCGTGTCGACCAGGTCGAGTTCGGAGGGGTCGAGCGCCACCTCGACGCCCTCGCCGCCGGCGCCGGCCGCCGGCCGCCGGCCCGGCAGCTCGTACGTGTGGGTCGACGCCATCATGGCGGCACCGACGCGCTCGTTGCGCCGCTCGGGCAGCACCTGGTATAGCGCCGGCGTCTCGCCGCTGCAACGGCGCGGAGCAGGCGTCAGATCGGACCGCCGCAGGGCAGCGGGCGCCGGCCGACTAGCGGTTTCGGAGGGCACGGACTCGTTACAGTGACCTCGCGCCGGCGAACGGCTGCCCATCACCTGATGACCGCAGCAAGACACCATAACAAAGCGATCGATGGGGCGGAAGCGAACGTGGAATTCATGAGGTCACAAATGGTCTTAAGCTCCGCGTTTACCGACGGCGAAACAAATAACGGGCAGGCGAAAACACCACGCCAGCTGCACCGATATCTTTTAGCTTGAACCCAGCAGACTTTGCGGAGCGATCGACCCCCTATCTGCAGCCTGATCTCGCACAACAACCTGCTCCTGCACCATCCCTCAGCTCGTTTCAGGTTCCGGACGCAGACTCCAACACGTCCGCCCCACCGCCGGCGCGGCGCCAACGGAACGCCCAGCTCGCGCGCGGCCAACTCACCCTTCCATCTCGGACTCGACCTTGCGCTTGCGCAGCTCGATCATCTCTGGCGTCTCGAGTCCGGCCGGGATGCTGGTGACGCCGGAGGGTGTGATGAGACCTTCGGCCGGTGTCACCAGGCCCGACTCCTCCACGCCCTCAGCCTCCTCCTCCTCCGACTCCTCCTCGGACTCGGACTCCTCGGACTCGGACTCCAGCTCGCCCCAGAGCGTGCGCTCCACCTCCTCATCAGCGGACGGCGCCTGTGCGGACGGGCCGGGGTCGATGTCAGAGGACCCCGCCGTGGACGGCACCTGGCGGGCGGGGCCCGAGCCACGCACCGCCTAGGCAACACTGACGGCTGCACTTACCGGGCAACACACTGCGGGATCAAAGGGCGGTCCGCTCTACAAAATTAACGCCACGGCGGATGGGGGGTTACTAGCGGTGGCGGGCGCCACAACCGCCGATCATCCCGCTGTTGATGCCCACCGCCCGGTCTTATTATTCCGCGACCAAAAGTGCTCGCACGACCCGACCAGACGACCGAAGACCTAGCCGAGACTGCTAGCCTGTAGTCTGTTGACTACTTAGCCAGCTCAGCAGTGCACCAGCAACGCACAAACAACTGGAAAGCGGCATCAGCTCAGCAAACTCCGGCACCTTCAACCCTCCCCTTCCCATCCAGCGCGACTCGTCGTCAACTCACGTCGAAGTCCTTGCCCTGGACGCCGAACACGTCGCCGTAGAGCGGCTTGCCGTGCTCGTCGACAGGCGGCTTGCCCCAGCCGCCGGCGTGGTAGCCGAAGCTGCAGCCGTCAGGGATGGGCGCGTTCAGACCGGCGATCTTCAGATTCGGGTAGCTGGGCGGCGGCCCGTACCTGGCCGGCGACAGAGGCGGTGAGCGCCGGCTCCGCTCCGCTCGCCGGGGCAGGGCGTGCAGCGGACGGAGGGGAGGCAAAAACAGAGGCGCAGCGAATGACAGCTGGCAGAGGCAGATGCGCAGCGGACGGGGAGGAGGGCGAGACAGAGGCGCAGCGGACGGAGGGGAGGGAGAGACAGAGGCGCAGCGGACGGAAGGGAGGGAGAGACAGAGGCGCAGCGGACGGAGGGGAGGCAGAGACGGGGGCGCAGCGGACGGAGGGGAGGCAGAGACAGAGGGGCAGCGGACGGAGGGGGGAACAGACAGAGACGCAGCGGACGGAGGGGAGGCAGAGACAGAGGCGCAGCCGACGTAGGGAAGGCAGATATAAAGACGCAGCGGACGGCGGGCAGGCGGACACAGTGGCTCAGCGGACGGAGGGGAGGGAGAGACAGAGGCACAGCGGACGGGGGGGAGGCAGAGACCGAGGCGCAGCAACACGGGTAGCTGAGCAGCGGTAAAGAGCGTTCGGCGCCACTTTGAGTCACTTAGCAGCGCAAGCAGCGGCCGCTCAGTTACGTGGGGGCGCCTCCACACCGTGAGATACTGACAGGATGCGCCACACTGCGATATATATATATATATATATATATATATATATATATATATATATACACATATATGCATTACTTCTAACAGTCCTGCTCGGGAAGGACATGCCTGCGGCCCGAGACAGGGGGTCGCTGTAGTCACTGCGCAATAAATGAGGCTGGATGATACTCATCCGTTCACATTGGCGAGAATGGTTTTCAAAATGTAACTAGCCTGTCTCAGCTGCGAATGGTCCAGATGGACTGACCTCTGCATGGCGATCAGCCACGGCGGCGGGATCTTGTTGCAGTTGGCTCCGACGGGCATACCCGGACTGACCTCTGCATGGCGATCAGCCACGGCGGCGGGATCTTGTTGCAGTTGGCTCCGACGGGCATGCCCAGACTGACCTCTGCATGGCGATCAGCCACGGCGGCGGGATCTTGTTGCAGTTGGCTCCGACGGACATGCCCAAACTGACCTCTGCATGGCGATCAGCCACGGCGACGGGATCTTGTTGCAGTTGGCTCCGACGGGCATACCCAAACTGACCTCTGCATGGTGATCAGCCACGGCGGCGGGATCTTGTTGCTGTTGGCTCCGACGGGCATGCCCAAACTGACCTCTGCATGGCGATCAGCCACGGTGGCGGGATCTTGTTGCTGTTGGCTCCGACGGGCATACCCAAACTGACCTCTGCATGGTGATCAGCCACGGCGGCGGGATCTTGTTGCTGTTGGCTCCGACGGGCATGCCCAAACTGACCTCTGCATGGCGATCAGCCACGGCGGCGGGATCTTGTTGCAGTTGGCTCCGACGGGCATGCCCAAACTGACCTCTGCATGGCGATCAGCCACGGCGGCGGGATCTTGTTGCAGTTGGCTCCGACGGGCATGCCTAGCGCCGTGCGCAGGTCGTCGGAGAAGTCCCCCGGCTTCTTCTCCTTCAGGCGAGTCTCAAACTCCTTGCCCTCGTAGTACAGATCGCCGTGAATGGTCATACGCGGCTTGGTCTGCCATCTGGCGACAGGACAACAATCAGCACGTTGTTGGCAGCACCAAAAGGGCACGGTAAAGCGCACATCATCTGCGAAGGCTCAGCACAATCCTAACCTTGCATTTACTCTCAAGCGAGAGGTGAGCGGATAGATGCTACACCACACAGCGGATCGATGCTACACCACACAGCGGATCGATGCTACACCACACAGCGGATCGACGCTACATCACACAGCGGATCAATGCTACACCACACACACAGATTATCACATCAAACAAACTGTCGAAGTCAGCGAGCAGGAAACAAACACCCCGCACTTTTGTTTTCCGGTGCACAATTCGACTCACTTGAAGAACGCGTCATGCAGCTTCTGGTAGTCGATGTCAATTTTGCCCATCTTGGGCCTGACCTTCTCTCGCATCTTGGCCTTCATGTTCTTGGCTTCCTCCTTCTCGGCGAGCGCCTGCCGCATCTCCATGATGCCGGTCTTCTTGATAAACTCGGGCAGGTCGAACGGCGGCTTCTCAATACCCCGCTTGCCTTGCAGATACTGAGGGAAGCGGCACTCACGTTGCACAACTTACTGAGAAAACAGACTTGAACCACCTGCATTGCAAAGGCGACTTTCATGTTCACAGACTGGTTGCTGTACGATGTACCATTGCACAACAAATTGTTTCACACAAAATATTGTAAAGATGCTGCATACACCATCCTTGGAAGTTTCCTGAACACCTCAGCTATCGTTCTGATCACACCACGCCCCGATCCACAGGGTCAGTTGGCTTGGTAAGCCCGCAGCATTCATTTCTCAGCGGCCACCCCTCAAAACAGACGCACGTAAAACCACCATTAAACAGAGTCAAACGGCCCAGCAGACGAAAACGCTGAGGCACATGCCCACACAGCGATAAACACCCGGAGGTCGCGCCACGCACCTTCCTCTTGAAGCACCAGTGACGCGGCACAGGCACCGAGTTGCGTGTGCTCTTGAGCGCCACCAGCAGCAGCGGGTCCTTGGACGTGACATCATGCATCTCCACCACGTCCGGCCGCGCCACCTGCTGCTTCAACGCCGCAATCGACATGCGCGTCATCTTCTTCAGCTTGCGCTTCGACAGCTTGGGGTGGTCGGCATTTTCGCCCTCCTCATCGCTGTCGTCGTCGCCGTCCAGCAGCTTGGGCACCTTCTTGAGGTCCTGCGGCTGCTGCGGCTGCTGCTCGGCCTCGGCGGTCGGCGCCGAAGCGCCGCCCGCATCCGCTGCCGACGGCGTCGGCTCGCTGATGCGGAACGTCTCGAAGATGTGCGCGAACTGACGGTACAGCGGGTCGGCCACGTCCAGCTCGGGCGCGTCCGACACGTACCTGCCGGGCAACCGTCCATCAGGACCGGGGTCAGGGCCAGGTAAGGGTCGGGGTCATGGGTCATGGTCGGCGTCATGATCAGGTCAGGGCCGGGGTCATGGTCCGGTATCAGGTCGGAGGTTAGGGTCAGGGGCAGGATCGGCAGTCAAGGTCGGGGTCAGGATCGGATGTCAGAGCCGCGGTAGGGGCGGGGACCGCGTCAGGGTCAGGGTCGATGCGGGGTCAGGGTCGTAGTGCATCGAGGGTGGGGGCCAAGATCGGAGTCCAGTCACGATCGGGTCGTGATGGGTCCAGTCAGGACCAAGGTCAATACCGGGTCGAGTGTGGCTCAGCTGTGGCGTAGCGGTCGTATCTCGGAAGAGCCAAAGGATCACGAATGGTAAATACCTTCTTTACGCCACGCACTCCGTAATTTCGGCTTATTTCACCAAAACCGGCGCTACAGCCTTTCAGGGACTTGGAGTACGGACGCGAAGTAGGTTGATCTCGTGGCCAAACATGAAATCGCTTGCCTCCGATAATCCGAGTCGCATTATAAACAGCCGAGATTAAACACCACCTGTGCAAAGCAATACACGCATTACAAAACACAATAATGCATAACAGCATCCTCTGCTTTCTCAGCCATTTACTAACTGTAAGCCGATATTGGCAAAATAGCACAATGCTACAGGAAAGCAAACGGCGCGTGTCACCACATGCACACGGTATGCCTGCTGACGCACATGGAGAGCGTCGACGGCGCCTTACTCGATCTCCACATCCGGCTCGTCGTTGGCCGGCTTCTGGGCGCCGTTCTGCAGCGGCTGCGACGCGCGCGGCCGTTTCTTCTTCTTTTTCTTCTTCTTGCGCAGCTCCTTGCGCTTCTTCTGCTTCTCCTCGCGCTGCTCGCGCGTGACGGCCGCCGGCTCGTCGCGGATCATGGGTGGCGGCGGCGCCTGCGGCAGCGCCAGGCCCTCCGCCTCTGCCGGCGGCGGCGCCAGGTCAGCACGGGAACCGCGTGGACGGCACCACTGAAGCGGCCGCATGAAGGAGCTACACGTCGCAGTCTTCCAATCACGTTGTGAAATCACGTGTGACGAAAACAGCTAATGGTTTCGCCAATTCGTCCATACATCTACGACCTAAAGATAAAATTATGCGTAAAACCCGACCGCTCCCGGCCCCGGTCCTAGCCTGTTCAGCTGCAACACCGGGAAGTTGTCATTTCGCTCGAGGAGGGTCTTTTCCCGTCCGACGACGAGAGCCATCGCTCGTTGCTGCACTGGCAGGCGGCAGGCCGGCGTCAGGACGCGACGCTACGCGGCGACGTGCGCGCAGTCGGCGCCTGGTGGGCACACGAGGGCGGCGACCACAGACTGCCCATCGGGCTGAAGAGCGCACACGCCCTCATACGTGACATCCCCACAGCACCGGTCTGCACAGTTGCAACCTGCACTTCCGCGCGCCGCAGTGAAACACCAGGTGCGCGGTGCTGGTGATGGTGGACGCGGACAGCGAAAGCTCGCCCCATCACCCGACACTGACCAGCCGCCTGTCCCGGCACCCGATCCCGCGCCGCAGACAGGTCCCGCGCCGCAGACGGGCCTCCCGCCGCGGGCAGACCCCCGACGAGGGCAGACCCCGCGCCGCAGACAGGCCTCCCGCCGCAGACAGGCCCCGCGCCGCCAATACTCACCGACGCGGTCAATCTCGCTCGGGTCGACGCCCACCTCCTTGGCGCGCTCGATCTTGTAGTTGAGTGCTCGCTCGAGCACGCCGGGCAGTTGCACGGACGCCGGCTCCTTCTCCGACTCCCCCGGCACGCCGACCGACAGCTGGCGACACGGGCGCGTGGTCACGGCGCATCCAGCGATGGTGCGCGGCTTACATTGTTCATAACAGGGATAATAGATTACTGAGAGCCACAGTCACTGCTTCTTTGGGTTCCAAGCACATCGCTGAGTGACAGAACCGCACATCTTAAAAATATATCGAGTGGATTTCTTGGAAGAATTCAACAACATTGGTGGCCCAGTGGTGAGCAAAAGAAGAAAAAAACACAGACCATGGAGCACATTGGCGACCTGATAGACTGGAGCAGAGTCAGATGTCTGGGTCAGATCACTCACCATGCCCAGGCTGGGTGGAGGTGGCACAGTGGGCAGACCGGCCGACTGTGCTGGTGGCGGCGGCTCCTGGGTCCTCAGCAGAGGCGGCGGCACCAGCGGCGGGTCAGACATGACTGAGAGAAATGCAGGTCACGTCAGCCATGTAAGAGCCAAAGGCCGCACATAACACTGGGACCTGAGCAAGCAGCACAGATCTGATAATCACTGCATGTGGGGCACACACCCCAGGTTTTGTTAAAGGCAGGATATCAACTCGTCAAGAGCCGCTGTGGGTTTCTGAGAGTGTCATTCAAAGTCCCTCCATCTAAAACTCAGATGAAACTTCAGCAGGGAGTTCACAAGTACGGCCTGTGCAGTGTAGCCATCTACCCTGTGGCTGATGTAGTGGTGTTCTCAGGCCATTTTAGGGCAGACTGCTTCCTGAACCTCCATACCAAAAGACTGCACCACAACATTATGACACCATTTTCCCACCTGTTAATCCCACGTTTCCCATACTAGCACTCTCTACCTAGGATCTGGGTATTCACCCTGGGTTTGGGAGACCATCCACGCACACAATCAATGGCACCCCCTTTACCTGGCTTTGGGGGTGCCCCTCACATGTTCTGAGGTCCCCCACACAGGTTGAAGCTAACCATTTCAGCCAGGAGCGTCTATGACCCCATGAACACAACTTTCTGAACCTCTGCAAGAGCCAATTACAAATCATACCAGATCCCCTCCAGACCTCACTGAGGCAATGATGCTTGCCTTGCACCCTGCACTGTAGCAGCACTTCACTGATGTGCCTGCCACAGTTGACAGGCTGGCACAATACATAATTGTCTGTCACAATAATGGCATAATACTAAACCCTGCCTTGTAGCAGCGCCTCACTGACATGCCTGCCACAGTTGACAGGATGGCACAATACATAATTGTCTGTCACACTGATGGCATAATACTGAACCTTGCCTTGTAACAGCACTTCACTGACAAGCCTGCCACAGTTGACAGGATGGCACAATACATAATTGTCTGTCACACTGATGGCATAATACTGAACCTTGCCTTGTAGCAGCACTTCACTGATGTGCCTGCCACAGTTGACAGGATGGCACAATACATAATTGTCTGTCACACTGATGGCATAATACTGAACCTTGCCTTGTAGCAGCACTTCACTGATGTGCCTGCCACAGTTGACAGGATGGCACAATACATAATTGTCTGTCACACTGATGGCATAATACTGAACCTTGCCTTGTAGCAGCACTTCACTGATGTGCCTGCCACAGTTGACAGGATGGCACAATACATAATTGTCTGTCACACTGATGGCATAATACTGAACCTTGCCTTGTAGCAGCACTTCACTGATGTGCCTGCCACAGTTGACAGGCTGGCACAATACAAAGTGGTTTGTCACACTGATGGCATAATCCTGATGCATCAAGGCCACCCTGACAGATCAACTAGTGAGCGACTTTTTGAGGTGGAGTTTTGCTTGTTGATTAGCTAACAAAGTGGCTCAATGTGATCTCTTGATATATTAGTGAGTGCCTTTTCAAGGTGGAGTCTTGTTTGTTGATTAGTCAACAACCTGACTCAATGTGATGTCCTGATGCATAACAAAGATGACATGCAATATGATATTGGATGTTGACTGTGGGATGCTGAGGGAGTGGGCAGGAAAGGGGAAGTAAGATGACAACATGACCACTAAATATAACAACTTAATAAGGTGGAAAAAGGTGGAAATATGACATGGAATATGATATTGGATGCCACCAATTGGGCTAGGGTTGGTTAGGTTAGGTTAGTCTAGATTACATTCTGGTCCTTCTTCCTACCTTTATGTGGCCATGTTCAGGGAGGAATTGTGGATCATTTGGGCATTCTGTCTAAAATTCCAGTTTTAACATGCCGTTTAACTACCCCACTTTGTGCAGCTACATCTTAGCTTATGGTGTGCTATCACCTGTCAATACTGGTTGAATAATCAAATCATCAAATTATTGCCATGTTGGGCCAGTACATCTCTTATGGTTTGTGATACATACCTTCCTTCAAGCTCTTACTGCTCAGTAATTTGACCATATCATAGCAATGATGCAGGTGGGTCAGGACTGGCACCTCTCTGGAACATTCAGTTTTCACTACTGCAATTACTGAAGTTTAAAGATAAGAGAGTAAATGTACCTGTTTTTTGATTACTTACAACATTTGATGCCTTAATGAAGGCAATTCATGTGTAATGCTCTTTTGTATTGCAAGATATCTAGATTAACCTATCACGGCAGACTTATGGCCAGACAAACATTTCATCATCTTGTTCCTCTCACACAACTACTAAAAACAAACATCATAACTCATGGCAATCCACAAAAGGAGATAAATAATACTAGACTGCACATCCTCTACATAAACATCACACACTTCCTTCCCAAAATCATGTGATCTAATGCATTTATATTGGCTGCAGATGAGCCAGAGCATTGTTACAACTAAGCAAATGACTACAAAATCTGCTACCTTGATACTTACCAACACTGGAACGTAGGTAACTCTTGATGCTCAGTAATGAAGACAATTTCTTAATAAAGACTTATCTGCCATCCAAATATAAGAAGGCCCAAGCGCTATTCTACCTAAGAGCACTTGGGTCTTTCTAATCTACCTGTTTTGCGATTATTTACGATACGTCCTGCCTTAAGCACGACAAATGGTGTACAATGATTTTTTCTAACGTTAGGTAGGAAAGAACACCCTGACCACGCAATGTAGTGGTTAGTATAACTTACTTATGATGTGCTTTCCTTCAATACAGGATAAACCTCCGTGCTCCTAATCCCCCTTTCACGAATCGACGCCCACCTCCTCACAAAATTGATCATCAAAAAGGCAACAATTCACTCGGCGACGCGGCGAGCCGAGAAACGTTTCTGGACACCTACCAACTTGCATGAATAATACTACCAGCTTGGCTGTTTTACTCGAGGTAAAAATTCATGCTACCAAAACCAAACACTTACGGAAGCGCGATGCCTTTTTGGCGCTTTGAAGCCGTATGCAAGGCCGTATGATAGCTCGCGCGTGCTGCGATGGCAGCATGAAATGATGATTACAGATTGATGCAAAACAGGTGGAAACGATTGGGAATGTGTTCATGTGCCATTAATATTTTTATAATGCACATGAACACATTCCCAATCGTTTCCACCTGTTTTGCATCAATCTGCAATCACCATTTCATGCTGCCATCGCAGCATGCGCGAGCTATCATACGGCCTTGCATACGGCTTCAAAGCGCCAAAAAGGCATCGCGATTCCGTAAGTGTTTGGTTTTGGTAGCATGCCTTTTTACCTCGAGTAAAACAGCCAAGCTGGCAATATTATTCATGCAAGTTGGTAGGTGTCCCGAAACGTTTCTCGGCTCGTCGCGTCGCCGAGTGAATTGTTGCCTTTTTGATGATCAATTTTGTGAGGAGGTGGGCGTCGATTCGTGAAAGGGAGATTAGGAGCACGGAGGTTTATCCTGTATTGAAGGAAAGCACATCATAAGTAAGTTATACTAACCACTACATTGCGTGGTCAGGGTGTTCTTTCCTACCTAACGTTAGAAAAAAATCATTGTACACCATTTGTCGTGCTTAAGGCAGGACGTATCGTAAATAATCACAAAACAGGTAGATTAGAAAGACCCAAGTGCTCTTAGGTAGAATAGCACTTGGGCCTTCTTATATTTGGATGGCAGATAAGTCTTTATTAAGAAATTGTCTTCATTACTGAGCATCAAGACGTGTTCCAGTGTTGGTAAGTATCAAGGTAGCAGATTTTGTAGTCATTTGCTTAGCTGTAACAATGCTCTGGCTCATCTGCAGCCAATGCAAATGCATTAGATCACATGATTTTGGGAAGGAAGTGTGTGATGTTTATGTAGAGGATGTGCAGTCTAGTATTATTTATCTCCTTTTGTGGATTGCCATGAGTTATGATGTTTGTTTTTAGTAGTGGTGTGAGAGGAACAAGATGATGAAATGTTTGTCTGGCCATAAGTCTGCCATGATAGGTTAATCTAGATACCTTACAATACAAAAGAGCATTACACATGAATTGCCTTCATTAAGGCATCAAATGTTGTAAGTAATCAAAAAACAGGTACATTTACTCTCTTATCTTTAAACTTCAATAATTGCAGTAGTGAAAACCGAATGTTCCAGAGAGGTGCCAGTCCTGACCCACCTGCATCATTGCTATGATATGGTCAAATTACTGAGCAGTAAGAGCTTGAAGGAAGGTATGTATCACAAACCATAAGAGATGTACTGGCCCAACATGGCAATAATTTGATAAGATATTATTCAACCAGCATTGACAGGTGATAGCACACCATAAGCTAAGATGTAGCTGCACAAAGTGGGGTAGTTAAACGGCATGTTAAAACTGGAATTTTAGACAGAATGCCCAAATGATCCACAATGCCTCCCTGAACATGGCCACGTAAAGGTAGGAAGAAGGACCAGAATGTAATCTAGACTAACCTAACCTAACCAACCCTAGCCCAATTGGTGGCATCCAATATCATATTCCATGTCATATTTCCACCTTTTTCCACCTTATTAACTTGTTATATTTAGTGGTCATGTTGTCATCTTACTTCCCCTTTCCTGCCCACTCCCTCAGCATCCCACAGTCAACATCCAATATCATATTGCATGTCATCTTTGTTATGCATCAGGACATCACATTGAGTCAGGTTGTTGACTAATCAACAAACAAGACTCCACCTTGAAAAGGCACTCACTAATATATCAAGAGATCACATTGAGCCACTTTGTTAGCTAATCAACAAGCAAAACTCCACCTCAAAAAGTCGCTCACTAGTTGATCTGTCAGGGTGGCCTTGATGCATCAGGATTATGCCATCAGTGTGACAGACCATTTTGTATTGTGCCAGCCTGTCAACTGTGGCAGGCACATCAGTGAAGTGCTGCTACAAGGCAAGGTTCAGTATTATGCCATCAGTGTGACAGACAATTATGTATTGTGCCATCCTGTCAACTGTGGCAGGCACATCAGTGAAGTGCTGCTACAAGGCAAGGTTCAGTATTATGCCATCAGTGTGACAGACAATTATGTATTGTGCCATCCTGTCAACTGTGGCAGGCACATCAGTGAAGTGCTGCTACAAGGCAAGGTTCAGTATTATGCCATCAGTGTGACAGACAATTATGTATTGTGCCATCCTGTCAACTGTGGCAGGCACATCAGTGAAGTGCTGCTACAAGGCAAGGTTCAGTATTATGCCATCAGTGTGACAGACAATTATGTATTGTGCAATCCTGTCAACTTTGGCAGGCTTGTCAGTGAAGTGCTGTTACAAGGCAAGGTTCAGTATTATGCCATCAGTGTGACAGACAATTATGTATTGTGCCATCCTGTCAACTGTGGCAGGCATGTCAGTGAGGCGCTGCTACAAGGCAGGGTTTAGTATTATGCCATTATTGTGACAGACAATTATGTATTGTGCCAGCCTGTCAACTGTGGCAGGCACATCAGTGAAGTGCTGCTACAGTGCAGGGTGCAAGGCAAGCATCATTGCCTCAATGAGGTCTGGAGGGGATCTGGTATGATTTGTAAATTGGCTCTTGCAGAAGTTCAGAAAGTTGTGTTCATGGGGTCATAGACGCTCCTGGGTGAAATGGTTAGCTTCAACCTGTGTGGGGGACCTCAGAACACGTGAGGGGCACCCCCAAAGCCAGGTAAAGGGGTGCCATTGATTGTGTGCGTGGATGGTCTCCCAAACCCAGGGTGAATACCCAGATCCTAGGTAGAGAGTGCTAGTATGGGAAACCTGGGATTAACAGGTGGGAAAATGGTGTCATAATGTTGTGGTGCAGTCTTTTGGTATGGAGGTTCAGGAAGCAGTCTGCCCTAAAATGGCCTGAGAACACCACTACATCAGCCACAGGGTAGATGGCTACACTGCACAGGCTGTACTTGTGAACTCCCTGCTGAAGTTTCATCTAAGTTTTAGATGGAGGGACTTTGAATGACACCCTCAGAAACCCACAGTGGCTCTTGACGAGCTGAGATCCGGCCTTTAACAAAACCTGGGGTGTGTGCCCCACATGCAGCGATTATCAGATCTGTGCTGCTTGCTCAGGTCCCAGTGTTATGTGCGGCTTTTGGCTCTTGCATGACCTGCATTTCTCTCAGTCATGTCTGACCCGCCGCTGGTGCCGCCGCCTCTGCTGAGGACCCAGGAGCCGCCGCCACCAGCACAGTCGGCCGGTCTGCCCACTGTGCCACCTCCACCCAGCCTGGGCATGGTGAGTGATCTGACCCAGACATCTGACTCTGCTCCAGTCTACCAGGTCGCCAATATGCTCCATGGTCTGTGGTTTTTTCTTCTTTTGCTCACCACTGGGCCACCAATGTTGTTGAATTCTTCCAAGAAATCCACTCAATATATTTTCAAGATGTGCGGTTCTGTCACTCAGCGATGTGCTTGGAACCCAAAGAAGCAGTGACTGTGACTCTCAGTAATCTATTATCCCTGTTATGGACAACGTGAGCCGCGCACCATCGCTGGATGCGCTGTGACCACGCGCCCGTGTCGCCAGCTGTCGGTCGGCGTGCCGGGGGAGTCGGAGAAGGAGCCGGCGTCCGTGCAACTGCCCGGCGTGCTCGAGCGAGCACTCAACTACAAGATCGAGCGCGCCAAGGAGGTGGGCGTCGACCCGAGCGAGATTGACCGCGTCGGTGAGTATTGGCGGCGCGGGGCCTGTCTGCGGCGGGAGGCCTGTCTGCGGCGCGGGGTCTGCCCGCGTCGGGGGTCCGCCCGCGGCGGGAGGCCCGTCTGCGGCGCGGGACCTGTCTGCGGCGCGGGATCGGGTGCCGGGACAGGCGGCTGGTCAGTGTCGGGTGATGGGGGCGAGCTTTCGCTGTCCGCGTCCTCCATCACCAGCACCGCGCACCTGGTGTTTCACTGCGGCGCGCGGAAGTGCAGGTTGCAACTGTGCAGACCGGTGCTGTGGGGATGTCACGTATGAGGGCGTGTGCGCCTTTCAGCCCAATGGGCAGTCTGTGGTCGCCGCCCTGGTGTGCCCACCAGGCGCCGACTGCGCGCACGTCGCCGCGTAGCGTCGCGTCCTGACGCCGGCCTGCCGCCTGCCAGTGCAGCAACGAGCGATGGCTCTCGTCGTCGGACGGGAAAAGAGCCTCCCCGAGCGAAATGACAACTTCCCGGTGTTGCAGCTGAACAGGCTAGGACCGGGGCCGGGAACGGTCGGGTTTTACGCATAATTTTATCTTTTGGTCGAAGATGTATGGACGAATTGGCGAAACCATTAGCTGTTTTCGTCACACGTGATTTCACAACGTGATTGGAAGACTGCGACGTGTAGCTCCTTCATGCGGCCGCTTCAGTGGTGCCGTCCACGCGGTTCCCGTGCTGACCTGGCGCCGCCGCCGGCAGAGGCGGAGGGCCTGGCGCTGCCGCAGGCGCCGCCGCCACCCATGATCCGCGACGAGCCGGCGGCCGTCACGCGCGAGCAGCGCGAGGAGAAGCAGAAGAAGCGCAAGGAGCTGCGCAAGAAGAAGAAAAAGAAGAAGAAACGGCCGCGCGCGTCGCAGCCGCTGCAGAACGGCGCCCAGAAGCCGGCCAACGACGAGCCGGATGTGGAGATCGAGTAAGGCGCCGTCGACGCTCTCCATGTGCGTCAGCAGGCATACCGTGTGCATGTGGTGACACGCGCCGTTTGCTTTCCTGTAGCATTGTGCTATTTTGCCAATGTCGGCTTACAGTTAGTAAATGGCTGAGAAAGCAGAGGACGCTGTTATGCATTATTGTGTTTTGTAATGCGTGTATTGCTTTGCACAGGTGGTGTTTAATCTCGGCTGT